TGTGGTGGTGGTGGTGTGTGGGGGGGGGGGGGGGTCGGTGGTAGAGGTGGTGACGGTGGTGGCGCCTGCTGCGCCAGCTTGCGGGCCCGGGCCGGTGAGCGCGTGCCGATCATCCTGCACGCCCGCGCCGCCGCCGCCGCGGGAAGCCCCTCTTGCTCTTCGGCCGCCTCGAGCCCCTCTTGCCCCTGTGCCGCAGCGGCGCCCTCTTGCCCCTGTGCCGCCGGCGCGTCGCCCAGCCCTGCCGCAGCGACGAGGCGCGCGAGGTCGTCGACGGCACTCTCCTCCTCCTGCGGCGGCGCCTTCTCCTCCTCCTCCTCCTTTCCCACCACCCTCCAGTCATCCCCGCCCCGCGGCGCGAGCGCGGCGGCCGGCGGGGAGGCCTCCTCGGCGCCTGCCGGGCGTTGGACGTGGACGTGGGCGCCGTGGTCGGGTCCCGCATGTGCCGCACACTTTGCCGCGGCCATGCCGCATGTGCTGCACACTTTGCCGCGGCCATGCCGCATGTGCTGCACGTGCTGCACACGTTGCCGTGGCCATGCCGCATGCGCCGCGCTCGTGTCAGCGGGGGTGGTGGGGGTGGTGAAGTGGACGCGGCAGGGAGAGGAGAAAGGGGAGAGGGCAGAAGGGAGAGGGGAGAATGGTGCGCATAGACATATGCGTATGTGTATAAGTGTGTGCATATGCGCACCCTCGCTCCCGCCGGGCTCCCGACCGGCGGCGGCATCCTCCTCGTCGCTCGAGTCGTCGTCGCTGCTGCTCACCACGATGCGCCGCTGGGTTCGGCGCGCGCCCGACGACGGCGCCTGCAGCCCAGCGCCGCCGCCGGCGCTCCGCAGCATCGGCGAGCCCGGCCCGACTGGCAACTGCCCGCTCAGAATGCTGCTGGCTAATCCGGTCACCGGCCCGCCTGCAGCAGCGCTGCCGGCCGCGCCGCCGGCCGCGCCGCCGGCCGCGCCGCCGGCCGCGGCGTCCGCCGCCGCCCTCTCGCGCTCGAACCGCAGCTTGTCGTCCACCGCCGCCTGCGCGGGGGGTTCCGCCGAGGGCTGGGTGCGGCGCAGTGTGCGCTGGCATGGCCCGTGCGCCAGCCGGGCTGGAGACCCACCTTTTCCCAGTCGGCCCGGGCGCTCAGGCCCAGCGCCTTCCACTCGGCGGACGCGAGGCGAGTCACTTCGGCGTACTTGGCATGCGGGTTGGCCGCCCGCAGCCGCTCCCGCGAGGCCTCGGTGTAGAGGACCAGCGCCGAGCGCGCCCGCCGGACGTCCTTACCGCCTCGGCGTGGCGGACAACGCGCATTCTCGGCGCCTGGTAGGATGTCGTTGCAGGGCATTCTCGTGGGCGAACCGCGCGATCGCGAGTCGCGGCCGGCTCGGACTGAGAGACTGACAGAGCGTCTCAAATGCCTGACAAATAAAAAAACAGAACAAATATCAGTCTTCGCGTGCCGCCTGTCGTTCACTCGGGCGCCTTGGGCGTCGGGGTGGCGAGCAGGGGACGCGGCTCTGAGCGCCCAGCGACGCGTGCCGGATGGAGTCCGGCCGCGGGTGACTAGGGAACTTCGCTCAGGATGTGTGGCAGTCAGTTTGGCTGAGTGTCTTGTCTTGTGGTTCTGTGTGTCGCTCCTGTGTGACCGTCATCGCCGACGCGGCTCTGAGCGCCCAGCGACGCGTGCCGGATGGAGTCCGGCCGCGGGTGACTAGGGAACTTCGCTCAGGATGTGCGCGCAGCAACCGTCGGGCGACGACCCGGGGGCCAAAAACCCGGCGACGACGGCGCTCTGGATGGGGCGTGACCTCCTGCCTCCAACCTCCTTCCTTTTTGAGCAGGTGTGACGCCGCGCGAGCGACGCTCCGAGATCGCCCGAGATAGCGCGGCGCGGCGGTGGGTGAGGTGGGGCGGGGTGGAGAGGCGTGGCGTGGAGCTCCGAGATCGCCCGAGATCGCGCGAGATCGCCCGAGATCGCGCGGCGCGGCCCGAGGCGAGGTGGATGGGTTGGGAGCGAGGGGGCGGAAGTGATCAGTGCGGTAGATCGGTCAGTCGGGGCGCATGAGCCCGACTTGTGGGCCGGACCACCCAAGTCCTTTATCTGCGTTGTTGAGCCAGGACTCAACATACTCGTTCTGTTGCCGTCCCAAACTGTCACTCCCCTTTCTCCCGGCCGGGGCGGGGCGCGCGCGGGGGCGGCGGGTGTGCGGCGAGTGTGCGGGATGTCTGTGGGCCCGAGAGCGATATGCCATGTCCGCCTTGCGTTGTTTCATAACATCGAAGGCTAAGCTCATAAAAGATATAGCCAGCGGGAGCCATTTGGCCAGGAACTAGTTTCTGAGTTACAAACAAAGTGACGTACCTTATGACCCAGGGGAGTAGAACCTAGAACTGGGCGTACGGGGTAGCCGTCACTTTCCTGCCTCACAAGGGCGGGGCTGTCCCGGAAAGTGAGAGACGCCGGGCAGCGTGGCGCATTACTGAACCCTCCCATACGTGTTTGGGGTTCCTCCTTTGCTGTCCCATCCCCTCATCTCTTTCCCGCCTGGGCGGGGCGGTGGGCGGGCGCGCGGTGCGGTGTGGCGTGTGCGTGTGTGCGACTGCAACGAAGGACCGCTCGCAGAGGACCATTGGGTTTGTACTATTAACAACGAAGGCGCTCTCAAAAAAAGAAAACAGGGCCGGGCTTCGTTCGTTGTAGTCACTCTAAACACGCAGGTGCGAATCGGGTTACACCAACATGAGCCGTAAATCAACGTACACACTCCAGGAGTCCTCCGGACACAACGAATCCAACGTCTCCTTCCTGCTCCGACGCGGGCTCGCCGTCGAGCTTGTTTGAGCAGCTGTTGACCGGGCCTACGTGCACGGTCTCGCCCGACGGCCGGCCCGCCATGTGTGGTGCCGGCGCGCGGGCGTCGGACGCGGGCAGCGCGTAGCTTGCTGGAGCGCTGCGTGAGGGAGATCGTCTCGGCGGCCACCTCCTGCATGCTCGGCCGCATCGCCGGGTCTTGCTGCCAGCAGCGGGTGATCAGGCCCGAGTAGACGGCGCGGTCGGCGGCAAGCTCACGCGCGGCCGCGACGCGGAGGCGGAGGAGGGCGGGACGGCCACCTCGTGCATGAGGGACCAGAGCAGCATCCCGTACGAGAAGGTGTCGCACCGCTCGTCGTAGCCCACCGTCGGCGGCCCTCTGCGCGCGCTCGACTGGGCGCGCACCTCGGGCGCCATGAAGAGGCTCGTCCCGACGCCCGACGTGTGCAGCGTCTCGGGGCTACGCCCTCGCGCGCCGCAAAACGCGGCTTCGCCGGGCAGCACCGCCTGCGCCCTCCCGCCCGCAGGTACGGCCACTGCCATCGCGGGGCCGCGAGACGCGTCCGCTGCTGCCCATTCGCCGCCCTTGTCCCGCGCCGGACCGCCCTTCCTTTTCTCTGCCGGTATAGGTCTTGCCTGCCTGAGATTTTGAGCAATAGCAACCTTACCTTACCAGGCTTACGAGGCGATATCAAAAACCACCCACGCGACCATGCACGCGACGCGATTCACGCCTAGAAGCATGCCCGGATATCAGCCGCACGCCCCCCTACACGCTAAAGTTGGTGCTCAAGCTCCTCCTTCATCTGCACTGCGCTAGGGCGGCGGCCCATTTCCTTCGCAAGCGCACCACCGTGTGTGGTGCCGGCGCCCGTGAGGATCCCCGCCACCGGCCAGCGCGGGTCGGCGTCGCATTTGTCGCCGAGACTTGGCTGTTGAGCTGCGTATAAACCTGCCATATCATCAGCCCGAACGAGAAAATGTCGCTCTTCTGGTTGGCGCCCTCGCGGTTGAGGATCTCCGGCGCGGCATATGCGGGCGTCCACCCGCCGGGCTTGGTGACAGTTGTCGTGAGCCTCTTGGCCAGACCCACGTCGGCGAGCTTTGCCGTGTTGTGTTCGTTGATGAGCACGTTGAGCGGCTTGATGTCAAAGTGCACCATATCGCAGCTGTGGATGTGAAGCAGGCCCTTGGCGGCGCCAAGCAGCACCTTCTTTCCGAGGCGTGCCCACGCAAACTCGTCTGCGTGCTTGTCGAGGCAGTCCGCGAGGGAGCCGCGCTCCATGAGCTCAGTGACGATGAAGAAGTGATTTCCGGACGCGTGACCGCCAAAGCACTGCACCTGCTCCATCAGAGAGTGAGCCGGATGATGAGAGCGCGGGCGGCGCATCGGGCGGAGACAACGAGAGGAGTACGAGAGGAGTGCGTATGTTGCGCGTGGCGTATAAAGTCTTCGCTTGGCAGAAGCGCACCACGTGACGATTTGTGAGCGAGCGCAGCAGCTTGAGCTCCTTGATGAACTCGACCTTTGCGGCCTCGGCATTCTTACGGAGCAGCTTGTCCTTGATCTTTTTGACGGCGACGTCGTCGTGCTTCCACACGGCCTGGTAGACCATGCCGAAGCTGCCCTCGCCGAGCTGCTTCCCGAACTTGATCTCTTCATAGCGAATCAGCCCCTCCGACACTGGCGCTGCGTCCGGCGGGATGGGCACTGAGCCTGGTAGGCCATCGCTTTGCTGAAAGATCAGGCGCCTGAATGGCGACAGTGAGCGTCTCCTACTTATGGATTGCGCTCGAGGTATGAGGGGCGCAAGAGCGCGCCGCAGGCGAAGCGATTTTTGGGATTTGGCGGCAGGGTTGTTCCAGTGTATCTTGTGATCACGCGCCAGCCTTTGAATAGGCCCCGGAGGCCTCAACCCTCAACTAAAGGGTTGACGGGGGGTCTCAACCGCCAACCAGATGGTGGAGGGGGGGCCTCAACCCCTCAACCCCTCAACCCCTCAACCACCCCTCTGGGCCGATAACAAGGCTGTGAACTCCCGAGCCCCGCGCCACCGAGGCATGCACATGAACGCCATCAGCCCGACCTTGATCGCCGACCTGCGCCGGGGCGATTTGACCTTGCTGCGCGCCCTCCTCGCCGGGTGGACGCGTGGTCGGGCGCTCACGGCCCTGCTCGACGCGCGGCTCGAGGCCGAGGACCACTTTACGCTGCTGATTATCGCCGCTCGGCACGGGCAGGCCGACGCGGTGCGGCTGCTGCTCGAGAGCGGCGCGAGCGTGGCGGCGACGACGGGCCGTGGCTGCTCCGCGCTGTTCGTCGCGTGCCAAGAGGGCCAGCTCGAGTGCGCCGGGCTGCTCCTCGGCGCCAACGCTGACGCCGACCAAGCCGACGTCAACGGCGCCACGCCGCTGTCCATCGCGTGCCAGGAGGGCCAGCTCGAGTGCGCCCAGCTGCTTCTCGAGGGCAGCGCGGCGGTCAACCAAGCCGAGAATGACGGCACCACGCCGCTGAGCGTTGCGAGCCTGGATGGCCAGATCGACTGCGTCCGTCTGTTGCTCGCCGCTGGCGCTGCGGTGAACCAAGCAGACGCTGACGGCTTCACGCCGCTGTACGTCGCGTGCCAGGAGCGTCACCTCGTGATCGTCCGGCTGCTTCTCGCTGCTGGCGCGGCGGTTAACCAGGCCAACATCAACGATGCCACGCCGCTGTTCATCGCGTGCGAGAAGGGCCACCTCGAGTGCGCCCAGCTGCTTCTCGAGGCCAGCGCGGCGATCAACCAAGCCAAGGCGGACGGCGCCACGCCGCTGTTCATCGCGTGCCAGAAGGGCCACCTCGACGTCGCCCGGCTGCTCCTCGAAGCGGGTGCGGCGGTCAACCAAGCCAAGGAGGACGGCGCCACGCCGCTGTACATCGCGAGCCAGCAGGGCCAGCTCGAGTGCGTTCGGCTGCTCCTCGGCGCCAGCGCGGCGGTCGACCGAGCCGCGGAGGACGGCTTCACACCCCTGCACGTTGCGTGCCTGGAAGGCCACTCCGCCGTCGTGCTCTGCCTGCTGCGGGCGGGCGCAGACACAGCGGCGCGCACTGCTGCGAGCGGCGAGACGGCGCTGCAGCTGGCCAAGGAGGAGGGCCACGGCGAGTGCGAGCGCGCACTTGTGGCGGCGGCGAGGGAGGCGAAGAGAGCAGAGATTGAGGCGAGGGTGGAGAGGGCAGTGGCCGAGAGGGCGGCGGCAGAGAGGGTGGAGGCCGAGAGGGCGGCCGAGGAGGCTGCGGCGGCGCTGCTGTCAGAGGCAGAGGCGGAGAAGCGCGCCGAGGAGAAGAAGACGGCCAAGAAGAGGGGCAAGAAGAAGAAGCAGGGCGGCGGGGGAGGCGCTGGGCCGTCGCAAGAGCCCGAGGCGCCGGCAGAGGAGGCGGAGGAGGAGGCGGTGGCGGCGACGGAGGAGGCGGAGCTTGCGGCGGCGCTCGAGGAGAGCGCGAGGCTGGAGGAGGGGAGGCGGGCGGCGGAGGCGCAAGGGCCGTCCTCGGCTGCAGAGGCGCCGGCTCCGAGGGAGGAGGAGCCGCCGGCCGACTTCATCTGCCCGATCACGACCGAGCTCATGAGTGACCCGGTGATGGCGGCGGACGGGCATTCGTACGAGCGGTCGGCAATCGAGCGCTGGCTCGCGACCAAGTCGACGAGCCCGATGACGGGCGAGGCGCTCGTGCACAGCTTCCTCGCCCCCAACCACACGCTGCGCCGGCAGATTCGTGAGTGGCAGGGGGTTTGACGCGTGCTTGAGTAGTAAGGTATCTGCCTCTGGGCCAAGGACCGGCACGCCCCCCCCTTTGGGAGGTTCCCTGGAGGGAGGTTCGTGTCACGAGAGAAGATACACTCCTCCGTGTATCTAGACGGACGGAAGATACACCGAAGATACACCGAGATTTACTTATGCGGGTTCCGCGCCGAAGCGATGTATCTTCATACGAAGATACACGGGTTCCAGGTCGAAGTGGTGTATCTTCACGGACCGCGTAACTTCACTTCAAAGATACACAGCCCGCTCGCTCTCGTCGCCGCCCGGCTCCAGTCCGAGCGCCGTGGACGCGTGAGAGTGTGTCGGCAACCTATCACGTTGTCGTTGCGACACTCACGCCTCGGCGTGCTGTCGTAGGCGCAGCTCTACTCTCTCCGGCTCGACCTTTCCCGGTCAAGAAGCCCGCGTTAGTCTCCCACACACACCACACCACACCACACCACACCACCACACCGAAGCCGTCTCGGGGCAGGTCCGTCTCGAATGGATAGCCTTGGGCTCGGCCGGGTGGCTCGGCTAGCATGAGACGTGGGGACGTGTAACGACTCGACACGGGTGGGCGAGAGCTTGAGATAGAGTCTAGCCGCCTCGAGAGAGGTTGCCCTGCTTAGTGGGGCGGAACCCCGCGAACAGGTGCACCAGGGTTCTCTTCCCTGGGGCCGTAGGTCTCGGACTAGCACACAGTCCGACCCTGTCCTTAGCTAGCGTGTGTTTCGTTAGCTAAGATCTACGCCTGGACGTACTGCACGGTCACGCCGCAGAGGAGGCGGCGAGGAAGAATGCGCTCGGAATGGCAGGCCAGACGATTGAGAGGAGGCTGCGCGGAGAGGAGGAGGCGGAGGCCAGCGAGGAGCGGGAGCGGCGAGAGAGCGGAGGGGGCGAGGAGGGGGTAGGGGCGAGCGACCGAACAGATGACCTCGGGCGCCAGCAGAGGAGAAAGCGGAAACGGACGAGTGCAAGAGAGGAGGCGCTACGAGCAGACGAAGAGGCAGCGCCGACCAGCGACGACTTAGAAATGGAGAGGCAGCTCGAGGGGGAGGCGGACCTCCCAACCGCTGGCGACAGCCCACGATGCGACCCAGTCGGCGACGACGACGACGAGATGAGCATTTGCGACGCCGTCGACGAGGCGGAGACGGGGTCCAACACGATCAGCCCGGCGGCACGAGGGGAGGCGCTCGACGACGAGGCGCCAGCCGCGACGGCGGCAGGAGGCGAGGCGAGCAGCAGTGCTCCAGAAGGCGAGACGGTCCTCGGGCGGCGCGAGCGAGGGGAGGCGCTCGACGACGAGGCGCCGACCGTGATGGCGGAAGGCGACGAGGCGAGCAGCAGTGCCCCTCCGGCGGCGAAGCGGAGGAGGCGGAAAAGGGCAGGGAGGAAAACCCAAATGGGAGCAAACCAGCGCGACGATGAGCTCAGTCGAGAGAAGTGAAGAGAGGGAGAGTGGGAGGCAGTGCTTAGTCGAGAGAGAGTCAAGGTGATGTCAAGTGGAGCGCGGTGTGTTGTGGAGGGACTGACGTCGAGCCGGCTGCGCGCTCGGCGCTAAGCCCCTCAGGTGCCTGCGCACCGACCACCCCCCGGTGTTTTGACACCATTATTTGGTATATTAACCTCGCGGCCGCCTAGATAGACTGCAAGAGTTAGACACCGCAGGAGGCGAGGCCGCTGCTGCTGCTGGCCTGCCTCGTTTGGGGCGCTGCTGCTGTTGCTCTCGACTTAGTACGCTGTTAACTGATGCCCCCCCCCCCCCCCCTCCCCCCCCCTGCTGTTGTGCTCCGTCCACGCCAACCCACCCGCCCGCTCGTCCGCCTGCCCGCCCGCCCGCCCGCCCGCCCGCCCACGCGCCCGAGCCTGCCACCATCCGCGCACACCATCAGAGCATAGGCGCTCGATACCTCCTCTCGCTGCCACTCGCTGCCTCGAGGGGAGGAGGGGAAGACGTCGGGCTGAGCCGGCTTGCCCTGGATCGCCTGCACTGAGGCCCCTCTCCGAAAGGCAAGTATTAGCCACACGAAACCCGAGACCCCTCCCCCCCCGCCCCGATCCCCCCACCCCCTTGCTCCCCTCCCCCCCCTCGGGAGGGCCGAACTGAGGCGCCCGTGGGGACCCCACAATTCCCTTCCCCCCTCGGAGGGGGCCGGACGGAGGCGTACCCCGTGGGCCCCGCTCTTTCCCTCGCATAGCGGCCACTCTTCGGATCGCTGGTCGAGCGACCCGGGGGATGCCCCGCGCGCCTGACCCAGGCGCGAAAAACGAATCTGCGAGGCGAGGCCGCTCACGCGGCCCGATGGGGAGGAACGGGGCGAGCCCCCTCCAACCCACCCGCGCTAGGTCTCGGGGGACGAAGGGGTCACACCCGACGACCTCGGGAACTAGCCGGGGCAGTCGGAGAAGTGGCAACTCCGTGCACTGACGGTCGGCCGCCAGAAAACACGCCTCCGTGGCTCGGGTTACACCAATCCTCGCTACCCAACGCGGCCAAAGGATATCCACCTCGAGAACAGAGAACACCGCACCCCACCCGACCCGACCCACACAACCTCGCAAGCTCTTCTCTCTCTGCTGCCCTTGCGCGAGGCAGGCTCTCTTCACCGCCCTCTCCCCACACGCACGCACACCCCCACGGCGCGTTCCCACGGCGCCCCGAGTCCGTTGCAGCGGGCCACCAGCGGCGCCGCCTTTGCCGCAGCCAGCATTGCCAAACACGCCGCTGCCACCCTCCGCTGCGCCTCTCGCGCCTCGCAGGTGCCCCTGGTCAACGAAGGCGCCTAAAATCACGATGGGTTTGTTGTTGTTGTTGGCGAATGCGCTCGGCTACTGGAGGCGTCCGGGACACAACCACGGCATGGGAGCCTGTGCCGCAGGCAACAGCAGCCTGATGCAGGAGCACTGGGATCTGAGCGAGGAGCGTTGTTCGGTGCTGTGCATCCAGGCCGGGTCAGAATGCCTCGCCTACGAATACTCCCGCCTGGGTGGCCGGGGCCAGTACAGTAAATGCGAGCTTCACAGCGAAGCCATCCAAAGGACCGTCCCGTTACCGGGCGCAGTCGTCTGCCGAATGAAGCCGGAAGCGTCGACGACAAGTTCTTGGGTGCCGGCACACCCGTCAGTATTGTCAGTGCCGCCAGCACCGCCATGGCTGCAACCACCAACTTCGCCGCCGGCCGTGAGGCTCATCCTTGACACCGACATGGGGTGTGGCGCTTGCCGCGACGTCGACGACGTCGTTGCCTTGTGCGCCCTCCATGCGCTGGCGGACAACGGCGAGGTGGAGCTGCTCGCAGTTGTGCAGGACAGCGCGCCGCCCGCAGGAGCAGGCGTCATCTCTGTGGTGAACCACTTCTACGGCCGCGACCACATACCGATTGGCGCGTACAAGGGGTCTGGGCTGACGCTGGCGGGAGAGCCTCCGCTCACGTTTGTCGACAGTGTCCTGAAAGCCTTCCCTTCGCCGATCCGGAACGCCTCACAGGTGCCGGACGCCGTCGACGTGTACCGGCGCGTGCTCGCCGCCTCGCCGCCGCGTTCAGTCACAATCGCGTCTGTCGGTCTGCTGACGAATCTGGAGCTCTTGCTTCGCTCGGGCCCCGACGCGCATAGCCCCTTGGACGGCCCCTCTCCCTCATCAAGCAGCGGCCTAACACGTGGAGAAGTGCTCGTTACTGTCTCTGAGAGCCTCCCCTGTAGGCTACGCTTTGGTGGCCGAAAAGGTGGCTCTCCTCTCAATCATGGCGGGAGACTACCCGACGAGCGGGCCTCGCTTCGCCGAGTGCAATGCGTGCGGCTGTTTCAACGGCGCGGACGCCGTCTCCAGGGCGACCGCCGCAGCCGCGTCCTCTTTCGTCGCAGCAAACGTGCCGCCGTCCGTCCGTACCATCTACCTCGGGTTCCGCGACGGGGACGTGGTGCGGACTGGCGCGGTGATGGAGCTGTGCGCAGCGCCGGCCAACCCGTGCCGGCACGCCCTCCTCGTAGCGAGCAAAGTAGTTCCACGCGCCCACGCGACCAGCGACACAGGTGACGCGGCCTTACGGAGTGGACTCTAGGCACGCCCTGATGGACTTTCGCGACCGGGCGGGCTGGGGGTGGGGCCCGGGAGGCCGCTCCAGCTACGACCCGCTAGCCGCCCTCCTAGCGGTGCGCGGAGTCAGCCGCGAGGGCGTGGGCTTGAGCGAGTGCACGCAGTGCGACGGCGTCAACTCGATCGACCCAAAGAGCGGCAAGAATGAGTGGTTGCCGGGGCGGCGAAGCAACCAGAGCTATGTCGAGCTCACGGACCGGATGAGAGCGCAAGAAGCGATTGATGCGCTCCTCTGCCAGCCACGGCCGCCGCCGCCGCCGCCGCCGCCGCCGCCGCCGCCGCCGCCGCCGTTGCCGCCGCCAGCGCCACTACTAGTCATTCCACCGCCGTCATCGCCGCCGTCGCCGCCGCCTCCCTCAACGCCGCCGCCGCCACCGCCACACCGGCCGGACGCCAGGGTGGTGCAGCTGCGTTGGCGTCGTGATAGCCTGATGTTGGTGTATGACGCAAAGAAAGTGCACGGCAACCACAGATTCGTGCACTCGCCGACGGTGCTCAACAATGGCGACGGCGTGGATCATATCTTCACGTGTCACAACCATATACCTTGGACGTTCAGCGACTGGGTCTACTACATCAACCGGCGGGAGGACCAAGAGGCCTTGACGACGGTGGCTATGTATCCGGGTGTTCGCTACCCGGGCCAGTTTGGCGTGTGGTGGGGTGACCTCGGTGACTGGCCGTGGCAGCACAACTATTACTGGAATGCGTGCGAGCCCGCCGTCCTCGCACGGACGATAACGTATAGACGGCAGACGTTCAACAATATCATGTTCCACACGTCGATGCCTGTTGAGAGGTTCAACTGCATACGGTACCTTGTCGATGGGCTGAATGCGACTGCACCACCGAATCGCACGTGCCTGGACGAATCTGAGGCCAACGAAATACATGTTGTCTACTTCGATGGGCTGCGCAACACAGAGACATTAACGCCTCTACAGCACAAGTTCCTCAGATTCTCCCCGACGGTGAATAAGCCGCAGCCGCGCCCATTTGAATACGGTATCGGGCAGCCCTCCATCGCCACGTTTGGCACGAACGGGACGTGGTTGTTCCACACCTATGGTGACAGCGAGGGTGTTTACACCCGGTGGAATGTTCACTTCAGCCCGCTGCATTTTGATGACAACGGCGAGCCTCATCTGCCACAACTCCGTGAGCTGAGCAAGCAGGGCATCACAGACCTATTTGGCCGCCCGGTGAATTTGCTGTCCAACGTCGACGTCACGTACGATGCGCACCGCGACATGGTCTACATGCTGACCGACTTGTATCCTTTCCCCTTGAATTCTCGGGTAAGTGGGGCAGCACAGATCCTCAGCATCTCGCGTCGTGGGTTGCTGGATCAGTCGGAACCTTGGCGCCAAGTTGGAGTCATCTATGAGGACGAGGCCTATCCAGCGCGGCTCGCCGCCGCCTATGGAGTTGAACTGAGCATGCCACACAACGCCATCCACACCGGTTTGAAACGCCACCACAATCCGTCCTTCGTCAAGGCTGGCGATGGGAACCTGCTCGACCCTCATCGGCTGCGGATCTACTTTACGTCCGCCGATGACACGCCTGCGTCGGATTGTGCCGCCAGTCATGGCGAAACGTGTGCGGAATGGTCCTATAAGCTGTGGGTGGTGGAGGCGGCCTTGCACTAACCTGCCGCCCCACCTGGTCGGTCGAGGACGAAGAGTATAGCTACGTCAGGGGTTGGGAGTGGCGAGCAGGGAGAATGATTGGGG